GAAAGATTTTGTAAAATATCACCGTATTAAGCGAGTAAAAGAGTAACGAGCAAGATTTTAATATTTTCTCAATTAAAAAAGGAAATATACGTTTTTTTTTTTTTTTTTTTTTTTCACAATTAGTCGAACACGAAGCACGAGTTTTTTTTTCTCTTTTTATTTATATTTCTCTCTCTCTTTTATTTTTTTTTTCACATGTTTCTCGTTGGAAAACGAAAAAAACTTGGATTTACTCAAACCGATTAATATAAGTTTCACGTTCCTTTTTTGTAATTAGTTTTTCTTTTTTTTTTTTTTTCATTTTCTTTCCCTTCCCCTATCAGTATGTTGCTCTCTATTTTGTCAACATTATGAATTTGCAAAAAGGGAGATGAGCTTTTTTCATCTGTTCTTACGTTTCTTCTAAATGAAGAGCTGCTTAGATTCAAAAGACGGACACCTCATCTTAGTTAAGTAAAAATACGACTCTTTCCAATCTCCTTTCTCACTCTTTTTCATCCTCTTTTTCCTTCTATTACTATTCGTTTTTTTAATTCTTTTTATTTTCGATACGCGGCCATTATTCTTAATATTTAAGAGGCAAATTATTTTTGGTAATTACCGACACAATAAACGAAAGTTTTATTTATGAAAATGGAGATTTTTTCGACTTTTTTCATTTTGATAAAAAAGAAAAAAAAAAGAGAAGATAATAGAAAAAGCAGAGGAAAGATAACAATAGAAGGGAGAAAAAAAATGCACCGATTACGGCTCGATATCCATAGAAAAATTCGCGAGAAAACGAGAAATGTCGAGCCGAACGAACGTTGGCGTCAACATTTGCGCTTTGTGTGCTTCTATATATGCGGTTACATTCCAAATACTATTGTTTTTCTTTTTTTATTTGTTTGTTTGTTTGTCTGTTTGTTTGTTTGTTTGTTTTTTTTTCAAAGCACGTATCAGCCGACAAACCAACGAGCAGATTTTTTTGTTCTTTTACTTATCACATTTTCGTTTTTGAAAGAATAAAAATATCATCCTCGTTAGGAAAATGAAAATTATTTGTTATTTGCATTAGTGACTGTAAAATAATGAAACTGCATCGATAATTATTATAAATAATTATCATTAAATACTAATTAAAAAAAAAAAAGGAAATATATATATAGATAATGTTAAATAAGATAAAATTCCATGAAATTCTTGCTTCTTACGTTTAGATGGTTTGCGCAAGCGTACGAATGACCATGTTTTAATTAATTCCTGTCACGTTTTTCCTCGAAAGCTGAGCTTACTTATCCGACTGTATAATTGCCAGATACTCAGGATAGTATGTCCTTTGAGAGAACTTGTCAATTCTACAGGGACATGTTGCTCGTGCGGTATTAAAATTTCTCTACGGTCCGAGATGGTGAAACTCGTTTCTGAATAGCAATGGTGGAAGTGCTGCAAGTGCTGGTCTTTTCTATTTCGAGGAACACCAGTTCGACGAGTTTTGACAATTTCTTCGATATTGGAAAATCTTTTAAATGTAATTTTAAAAGATAATAATGATAAATCCTTTCAAGAGTATCTGGATATAGAGAACACAGTATTAATTTAGTTTAGGAGGTATTTCGTAGACACAACAATGTCTAACAACACGGATTGTCTGAGAAAGGGGACTTGGCCCAATTTAGATCGGTCCAAAGGATCGGAGAGCCGCAAACGTAACCACTCCTTTGGACGTCTAACAAGGGAGGTTACAAGCATTGGACACGAAGTCAATTAAGGGTTGTCGTTAAACTGGCTACGTCTGGCGAGGCTTTAATGATCCAACATACAGACAGACCGACAGGATCAGACGAATTTCTAACTTGTCCTATTTCCGAGTAACGACATTGCACCTTGACCTAAGATGATATTTTGGTTATTGTTAAATCCGACAACTGCCCCCACACAAACTTTTAGTACGATTTATTTATAACGAGTGTAACAAATTTATCAAATTTCTCTACTTTTTCCTTGAATAAGTTCAACATGTGTGAATATCTTACATATATATATATATGGGGCATTCCATGTCAAATCGACTACTTTTGACCCTTACCCCTTATACAATAATACTTTTATTTACAAGATAATAAGAAACTAAAAGATAAATGAAAGAATATTAAAATAGAGAGGTCACAATAAAAGAACAAATTGAGCACCGTCAAAATGTATCATTAATTGATTTCAGAATGAACACACGTGTATATAAATATGCGTCTACCTAAATATTTGAGAATGGATCGTTTAGGTAAAAAGAATAAGATATTTTGATTTACAAGAAGATACGAGTATCTCGCGAGTAATAATAGTTAGAAATACACGTGTTTAAGAGTTGTCATAAATTTACTTCTCCCAACAATCTCGTTTGTTACGTTATCTCAGTTAACATGGTAGCGATCGTTGAAATAAAATAGAAGTTATCACAAAGTTCGACGATCACTCGTGTGCATTCGTGAATTTAACGACGGTGTTTAAGGCAATCGCTTCTTCATCATTTTTCCTCGTAATTGGGCTAAAGAATTGTTTTTCTTTTTTTTTTCTGTAAAAAATCAAAAATGAGTAACGACGGAGAAAGGGGAAAATATAAGTCACCGGATGGCTCTAAAATGTGGGAATATTTGGCAGTTTTTCTTTGTAAGGATTCCTTGAAAATTGTGTTTGTACGAATAATCGAAATGAAAAATGGAATCCATGTTTAATTAGCTAAATATTTTAGGTAATCTGTTGACTTTGTGCGTTGGTATAGTGTTAGGATGGAATGCACCAGGCGTTGTATTGTTAATATCACCGGATTCACCAATTCCTTTTACTAGCTCAGATATCTCAACTTTAACGGCTGTTATGTCAGTTGGTAATATGTTAGCGCCATTAATCAGTATGTTTATACTTGATACAATTGGAAGAAAATATACTTTATTATTAAGTGGTCTACCACTCATCGTTGGTTGGAGTATGATCATGATGGCAAAAAGCGTATTGGTAAGTTTGACATTTTTATTTATTATAAAGTTAAAGTATCTTAAATGAGAATTTCACCATATTAGACGTTTTTTGTTAGAATGATATTAGTTTAAAGTTACACAGCAATTATTTTTCGAATTATCTTTTAGTTGTAACATTTACGATTTATTTACACATCACTTTGAAGTCTGATAAGATAAGTAATTTTGGGTGAAGCAATTATTCGTAAGAAAGTGTTTTATATTTCTCTTACCTTTTTTAATGTTTTTAGGTGATGAATGTGGCTAGGTTTCTTTCTGGGATTAGTCTTGGATTGGGCTTAATGTCATCTGCATTATACTGTGGTGAAATATCTTCAGTAAAGACGCGAGGTGCTAGCGTATCAATTTTGGGTATAATGTTCACGATTGGTATCTTAATGTCTTATATATTAGTGCCATATCTGTCGATGATAAAAGCAGCTGGTATATTCCTATTCTTGTCGGTTTGTTTCGTTGTTCTATTTTCATTTATGCCAGAATCGCCGTATTATTTGGCGATGAAAGGAAGAAACGAGGAAGCTGAACAGGTATTAGAAAAATTACTGGGTAAGACTGATGTATCTGAAGAATTAGCAATGGTTTTGGAATCCTTAGTGACACAGGAAAATACAAAATCAACAAAATCAACTACTTGGACCATATTGAAAGATATATTAATGGTTAAAGGACATCGACGAGCTTTATTTATCATTTTTCTCATTCTCATAATTATGCAATGCGGTGGTTTTGTTACGATGCTCATGTACGGACAGCTGATCTTCCACGAAACAACAAGTACAATTTCTGATTACACAGTGAACGTAGTTGTTGGTATTGCACTAGTGTTATCTTCCATCCTAACAATTTTATTAGTTGACAAATTAGGTCGTAAACCATTTATCTTTGTATCCGGTATCATGGTTGGCTTTTGCACTCTAACTATGGCCGTTTATTTTTACGCAAAAGATTATCTCATCACGGATATGTCATCAAACATTTTGGTATCATTCGTTGCACCCATTTTATTGGTATTCTTTGGTAACGCTGGTTTTTCTAATATAGTGTTTATCTTGAATTCCGAGATATTTGCTATAGAAGTCAAAGCGATTGCTTCTTGTATATGCGGAATTTTTAATGGTTTAATATCGACCATCGTTAGCAAACTTTATATTCATATTGCGATAACTTTAAATTATGGTCATGCTTATCCTTTTTTTGTATTTTGTATCGTCACCTGGTTTACTACAGCTTTGTTGCTTAGATTATTACCGGAAACCAAAGGCAAGTCTTTTAAAGAAATTCAAAAAGAATTTCAAAGTTGAAAGTACAATCTCAATTTTTGTGTTACAATCATTCGTTAAAACTCTTGTTAACACGATAATTAAACGATGAGTTTTTGAAACACGTTCATGATCCTGTCCATGTTACCATGACGTGGTAAGTTTCGAAATCGTGATTCATAAATCGAAAATCCTATTTAATCTTTTTGTAAACGTCTCCAGTTTTATGTGATATTTAAAGATTTCGCAAGGAACAATCTTCTATGTAATTACATTTGTTTATATTGTAAGCACGTGGATAATAAATTTTTTAATATAACGTTCATCATTGTTAATATTAATTTAAATTTTTCGTAAATAATTGAATAGTTTAGTCGCGAGTAATTCTTGAATTTATTGTCAAGCAAAGATCTCTTTTGCTTGTTTGCATTTATTTTTAATAGGAGTTAGCTCCGATCTCTTACGAAAGATAATCACTATTCAGTCTTAAAGACATTGCTATTGGCAGAACCATTAGTGGTTGGAATTAGTTCTTCTTTCTGTAGATACAGCCTGTGGGAAAGCTATAAACAGAAACTACTGTCTACTTATCTTACTTTGTAGGAGTAGATTAACAGTTTCCTTTCGTTCGCGAAATCCTTTGTTTCGTAAGTATGAAATCCGGTTGATATTTCTAAAGCACGAAATGCAATGTAGTTTTCATCTTTTGAAAATTTAAGGTAGCACACCACAATTTAATAAGACGATTGGTTTTACAATTTTTCATGAAAATTCTCTATTCAACATTACTGTCATTTAACTCTGATCATTTTAATGATATCAAATTAATTTAATGATAATCAAATTAATATTGTACCTATATGTTGTAATGTATTACATTCAATAGTAAAAGATATAAATTTAATTCGAAATTAAATGTTTAACCAATTAGTAGGTTTAGTGTTAACGTTTAAAAGTATAGTATAGGAGAAGATTATAAAGCTCGTTAATAGAAATAGCCATACAGATCGTGTCGATGAGGAAACATGAGGCTGGAGTATCGGCTTAAGAGCGTGATCGAGCGAATCGCTCTCAACTTTGCGGCTAGATCCGTAGATGTAACGTCCCTGTCATCACAAAGCTCAAAGCGTATTCTGGATGAACAAACACAGATATCCGCCTATGCATTCACCGGGCCTATGGACTGACCAATACCAACCAACTCTGGTATCTTGTGCTCTGGCAAATAGAGTCCACACTATGCATACAATTGTATCATCGAACCAAACACCCTAACTACCCCTGACACACAAACAAACACGTTCTGTAAATAGATACGCATACCTATCTAGTTTCCAAGGATTTTCTCTGCATTATTTAAAAAAAAAAAAACAAGAAAGAAAAAAGAAAATCTGGCAATATTTATTTGACAATTTTACACTGTATAATTACTGATGTATTAACAACTTAGTATTACTAACAGTAATTAAAAGGTAGAGTTTAATGATGACATTCATATATATATAGAATTTTATTGCATCCCTATTGTAATTATATTAATAAACTATTGATTAGAACTTCTATCTTTGATTTGTTCAATGTTAACACAGATTTTTAGCCCCCCCCCTCCCCTACATCCTCTCTCTCTGTTATAATATATATATATATATATATGCGCATGAATGTTCACTTCCTCTCTTTATTGTTGGAATGAAACTTTTAAACTTAGAAATCAGAATTCAAAAGGGACAATTTGAAAATCTATGCAATTGAATGTTTGAATCGTTGGTGGGAAAGGACGCGCGCGCTCGATCGTATTATTCGATTGAAGTTCCAAGCGTGATACGATAGTCGGAAGTTAAGTTCCATTGGTTGGTCCTTTATTGGGATTAAATTCCCTGTAACACAGCGACTATCCGTTTACGAACACTTCGGCGCGTCAGAGCCTGTTAAAACGTTTCTGCGGTTGTAAGTAAAGCACGAAAGCAATTAGCTCTCATTTGCAATTTACAGTGCTGTTTGATTTAGACTACGGTTCCATACTAGTATGTGAGACTATACAAATATAAAGTGAGTACATGTGCACATATATATATAAGTATATATTCATGGATTGAAGAAATGAATGAAAACCGGTTTTCGTGTATGCCCAAAATTAGTTCTCATTCTTACAGATATGAGAAATGAAATGTAATCAATTAGATCAATATAAATGCACGTAGATGTTGCTATATCTGAGATTAATATATATTTTTTAAAATTATTTCAGTTGGTAGGTACATATAGTTGTTATTGATTCTCCTTGTTTGTAAGAATAAAATAAAATTATAGAGGTAATACATTTATATTAGCTATCAAAATCATATTCCTATTTCGAACTTACGTGCCAAATACTTGGTACAATACAATGGAGATAATACCATACTATTCCAAAATTCTAGAGACAATACCATATTATTCTAAAATTCTGGAGACAATACCATAATACTCCTAGGAAGAGAGCTTTCGCATATCAATTGGATAGTTTTATTCAAGGAATGATCAAAAAGAGAGCTCTATGCGAAATAACAAAACTTGCTCGAATATTGATCCGAAAAAAAATTCCTGAAACAATTATTATATGATATTTGTTATATTTTTTTATTTAATACTATTAAATAGAATGAACATTTTCCAATGTAAATGCTATAATATGACATATCTACTTAGTCAAAATTCAAAAAAAGTTAAATGTTCTCGTTTAGTATCCGGCACACCGAGTCCGATAGGAAGAAAGAAAATTGCTGCAATTTGGACGATACGAAGGAAGAATTGTTGGGCTTGATTCTTGTTATAGAAGAAAATATTCCTGCTTTTATTCTCTATCTGGTAATATGTTTATGGCGGATGTGTACTGACAAAATTCTATGAGAAATTTACATTGCTCTGCTACCGTCAAACTTTTGAATCCGGTAACTTCTTCCACCAAACTTTCTCTCTAGCATAACTCTCTTTCTTTCTCTCTTTTTTTTTCTCTCTCGCAAATGATAAAACGAATAGGAAAAGTTCGTAGTATTCAGAAAAAAATTTCTTGTCGCGATACCAATTCACTCCTACTTTTCTCATTTCTTTTCCTTTTTCTTTTTATTCTTCTTTTTTTTTCTTTCTTTTTTATTTGGGTTCTACAAATTCGAATTCTTGATGTGACGTAATTTTTGAATTCCATTATAAGAATATTTTTCGATTCCGAAAACATATTCAAATGCATGATATTACGATCCCGTTTATATCCGACAGTGAGAAATTCATAACATTTATATTCATGATACTCTGTGAACCTTTAAAGTAAGAAATCAAATTGGATTATGCCAATAAGAAAGTTTTTACTACTAACATCAATAAAAAGTTTCGTCTAATCAGCGATTACGATTATTAGAGATAAAAGTGTTTATCCCATAAGTATGCAGAATTATCCAGCTTCATTTCTCTGAGCAAATTTAACATTGCTTTTAATGTCACCTCAGGAAATATGATGTTACATAAATGAATCTCGTTAAACCTATAACTGGCTAATTTAGATGGTTTTTAAGTCAAATTTTATATTTTATGCGTTTCGAAAAATGATGAAAATATTAGGTTATTCGGAAAGTAATTTCGTTTTTCTTTTGTGAAAATGAAGACGACAATTTTTGCTTCAATGTTAAACGTAGGCCTTTCAAATGCGCATAAATAATTGAATGTGATAAATTTAATCCTTCACCGATCTCACGTGTTGTTATTTGCCAGTTTGCATCAACTAATGCATTTATTGTGTCAGGAAAAAACAAAATTACTTTCCGAACAACCCAATATTATGTATTCGCGAACGAAATAAAATTTTAAAATTGAATTTATATTTTTTTATTAGCGTACAATTTACCTTCGTCATTTGCTTTGGTTAATTAATTCTTCAGTTAATTTTACGACCCTTACCTCAGTTCCTCCGCCCTTCACCTTTCTTCCAGTATATATTTATTTTGTATTTTTTTTTTTTTGTTATAGAAAAAGTAGTATCGATTTTCAATATTTCTTCTGGTACCTCGATCGTGTCCCCATTTACCGATCTTTCCGATATTTTACATGCAACGCGATAGATAACGAAGTACGCGGTCTAAAAACCGTCGAGCTTCGGCTATCGTAAATCACAGGAGAAACTCGAATTATACGAGATTCTCTCGGGTAAGCGCGGATTGACCTGAAAAGTAGTGCGAAGAACGTTCATGGTAATAAAATTTTCTATCGTTCAAGAGCGAATATTTAACGCAAGACCAACTCTTCATTTGAAATATTCAAAAGGAATCCAACAAAAAAAAAAAGAAGAAAACTGTTTAAAGATGGTTACGAAAAAGAATTGGCAAGGAAAGAAGGAAATAAAAATGAATTTAATCCTCTGTAATTCAATTGTTTGTAGGTTCTGTAAAAAAAAAAATGTTTAAGATATACGCTACTTTTATAAAAAAAGAAAAAAAACATAGGTTCGTAATTAAAATAATTAAAAATCAAGTAACTTTTATATTAGCGATTTTCTTCTAAACTGTCTCGTTTTTTTTTCGCAATAAGTGGTGCTTTAATTATGTCCTTAATATAAAAATTACTTAAAATCAAGAATTATTCGGAGTAGCAATTTTTAAAAATAAATTCACTTTAAATACCTGTATATAGTATTTGTGGTGGGTTAAGAGATGCGAATTAGTCTGATAGTGAGTATGTGTTGTACGACGGAAATAGCAGAATTTAAAGAGAACGCAAGTCCTAATAAAAGTTTTTACGATCACGAAACTCGTCGAGTATAATCGAAATGTTCGTCCACTTTTCGTAAAAGGCCGTACGAAATTGCGAGGTAATTAAGCGACCGTATTGTCGAGCGAAAAAGTTTTATTGGTGTAGCGCGTCCTCTCTTTCTCTCTCTTTTAACATACACATGCACACATATATACATATACCTAGACGGCGGCACTTATTTAGTTCATCGTCGTTAGAAAATCTCGGGTTGGATTAAAAGTCGTAAATTATATTTCACCTTTTATTAGCTGCCATTGTAAAAATCTCTCAATGGAGAAAAGTTTTTCAAAAGATCTATATATACGTGTATCGAAACGACTTTACTTACGACAATTTGATACCTTCTTGATCTCGCTTTTTATTACATAGACATTTATTTGCTCTGTGTTAGTTCAGATGTTAATTACTTCTAATACTTTTTTTTGTTAACAATCGTGTAAGATTAAAATTCTCGAAAAGTTTTAATTAGAGAAATTACTCGGTAGTATTGGGGTACTTTGGGTATTTCAATA